CTGTATTCCATCAGATTTTACCGGCACTGACAAGATGGCTAGTGTTGTCCAACACGTGCTGTGGACGCCAGCTTTGCTATCATTCAGTTTTTGTATCGGATGGCTGGGGAGTTCCACGACAGTTTTTTTTTTATTCGCACTTCACATATTTGAGATGCGTATTTCAGACATGTCAGATGCGCAGATATTTCAGGTCCTGCCATCGTGAGAATGCGAATAGGAAAGGTACGAGCTGTTGTCAAAGAACCAAAAGCGAACAAAGAATGTTCGTACAAATTCATACGGCTCTCGCAAAAAAAAAAAAAATTGGTAAAGAATTTTCGATTTGTCACAGCTGCCTGTCAGTGTGGAGAACCTGCGCATGTGCTTACGTAGTTCGTCCGAGTCTCATTAATATTTTTCATTCAAGTTTTTTTTTCCTTTTGCTTTCCTCATATATACCTCTCTGCTACCCTTTCCCTCTTTACCCAACGAGTGCACATCTGCTGCTCACCACTAGGTGGCAGTTGTGAGCCTTCTCTCTACGAAGGGGTAGACACGGTATGCAGTGCGTGTGGAGAGGAGGAGGAAACTGCCGAACACTTGATAATGTTCTGTTAAGGGCTTCGCCCTATAGTTCAGCATGGTGGCGCATAGTTTTTCAAAGCACTGGGGTTTAGGGACGGGGAGGGCAAAATAGACTTTAAGCGGGTAGAATTAACTAGAAGGAGATTTGTCTGATTGGTGGCTAAAGTCGAGGCACGAGTGAAAAATTAAACCCTTCACTGCAAAGTACCAGTCCTCAACTTCACTATTTAAAGGAGAAAAAAAATATAAATGTAGTTGTTGGTTAACTAAGTATTACGGCTAGGTGGCGTTAGTCGCCGCCCCATCTAAAGGATACAGCTATATCAACCCATCCATCCATCATCCATCTGCTTCTTTTGTGTATGCCCTTGTGTATTTGTGAATGTATGCGTTTCTAATAAAAAATAATAATAATAATAATAATAATAATAATAATAATAATAATAATAAAATACTCAAACGAAACCCCAACTGCGGCAAGCCTTCATTTCATTTCTTTTATTGATACTGTCAGCCCTTTGCGGGCTATTACAGGAGTGGAGTCGACTCGTATAAAACAGAAATGTGCATAAGAGAAACACAAGAAAAGAACCTTCACTACTGGAAGAAATCATTTCAGGGCACATACAACAAATATATTAATGGCTAAGCATATAGTTTACCTTCGCGATGGTGTAGTGAACGCTGTCCAGTTATCGCCGTGGACAGGCGCGCGCATTCTGTTCGGCAGCTCTGCGCATGCGTGCGTGCCTGTCTGTGGCGATCAGTGAGCGGCGCGCACTATACCATCGCGAAGGCCTGCCGCTTTTTGTGTTTCACTTGACGCCGATCGTACACGTTGACCGTCCCCGTGATCCCACCTGGCGCGTTCGGCGCTGCGGTCGTTCCCGGCAGCAAACACACATAAAAAAACGTTGTTAGTGCCGGCGACCGGATGCCTTTCACTCGCCCCGCTTGTAGAAGGATCATTTAGAGACTCCACACTGAGGAGAAACCAGGAAACTACAGGTCGGGTGTTGTCTTTCTTCCCTCCTCTCTCACTCTCTAACGCTCTCGCAATCTGCTCATACTTGTGAGAAGCGGGGGGAGACGGAAGACAGTAGCCCACCCAGTCGCGTGTGGTGGTGCAAGGCGCGCTGGTGGGCGCTTTGCACGCTACCTCGGACTGTGTCAAGGTACGCGGGCTCATTGGTGAGGGAAAGGGGGGGACGTGTAAGAGGAGGAGAAAGAAAGGCTTCACCGACGGGACGGGCTCCGTTGTTGTTCCGCGATGACAACGCCGCGTCGCCCGTTTGTGCGGGCTACAAGATGACGCACGTCGACTTGCGAAAGAGACGCCAACAACAAGCGCTCGAGTGTACGCTCTCGGGGGTCAAGAAACACGCCGATGATGGCCGCGTGCATTCATTGAAGTGACAGGGGTCACACGAACGTAAACGACGTACAGTATGGTCCACTGTTGAAGGGAACACTCGAATGCACGCCGTAAATCATCCTGGCCCTCTAAGAGCAAGTGCATTAAGAAACAACCCTCATGCAAGTCAATAGTCTGTCAAGAGGAGTCGGAACTTTTAACCACCAGTAGTCTTATGCATATCTAAGCCGCTATAATTTCGTAAGATCTAAGCGAAATCTAAACATGCTGCCGGCGCAGGTGTTCCCTTTAACAGTAGACCCGTCTGTACAAAGCAGACGACGAAGCATTCGCGCGTAGTTCTGTATACCGTTCACGTTGTGAACTCGTTTCGCAAGCGAACTGGGGGGGGGGGGGGGGGCTCTTATGATCTAGTCGGCCCGTTGTACATGGTGTAGGCAGTCATCTTCATTTACCCTTTATATTCTCACTCTCTAATTTAGTACTCTACCCACATCCCCACTGCTACGTGTCTTTCAGATATCGGGAGTGAACTTTTGACATCTGGTACGCCTCGGTAGAACAGTGGCTACGGTTCTTGGCTGCTGATCGGAAGGTCGTTGGTTCGATCCCGGTCGTGGCGGTTGTATTTCGATGGGGGTGAAATGGTATAAAGGCCCGTGTACTGTGGGGTGCACGTCTAAGAACACCGGATGGTCGAAATTTCCTGAGCCCTCAGTCACGGCGTCTCTGATGATCATATCGCGGTTTTGGCACGTAAAACCCCATATATTATTAGATAATATTAACTTTCAGGTATTATTGAATTTGTACATTTTTAACAGGAATCCAAACAACCGCGACGCAATGGGCGAAGTCGCCGTGGCGGGTATAGTGTTCACATGTGGCAGAGGGTTGATCGAGGCAGCTTTCAACGAGAGAATGCTTGGTTGATGGTGCCGCGGAAAGCAAACGGCCTTTCTGGACGCGATGCAGAGAGATGTGTTGGAGGATTACAATGACTTGAGTCAGATCGCCCGTCTAAACAACTTGCGGCACTTCCTCTGTTTCGTATTTTGACGGGCGAGGGATATCGAGTGGTGCGAACAACGGAGGACAGGATGAGAGTAAAGTCGCGATGATAGTTATAGCGCGAGGACAGGACGACGACAAAGAGACAAAAAGGACACTATCCTCCTTGTCTCTTCGTCGTCCTTCTGTTCTCGCGCTATAACTATCGTCATGTCATACCAACTAGCCCAAGCTGCCACACTTCTAAGTAAAGTCGAATTGAGAAAGAAAGAAAGAACGGTTGTTTGTGGGACGCCAACAGGACAGAGCACACGGCTTAACGACACGCGTATTTGTGAAATCGACAGTGAAAAAGAAAACAGAAAGAAAGACACACAATGGAAGAAAATCACCGTTGAAGAAGGTGCTCTGGGACGACCGGTTTAGTTGTGTGGAGCTCGCCGGCGTTCCTTAATGGGCGGAACAGGCTTTTTAAACTTCGGAAAAGGGCCTTCCAATAGCCTTGAAATTGTCGCGGGGAGGTTCGATGTTCGTACAAAAAGCAACAGTCCCTCTCAAAGAACGAAAGAAGGCGCTCGTCTTGTGCGCACTGAATGGGACTCGGTGTCGTATTGTACTCGTTCGCGTCTTCAGCTCGACGTTTTGTCGTTACGATGCTGAGTATTTTTTTTTTTGTTGCTTCCTTTACCGTGGGCTTGTTGAAGTTGGGGTGAAGACACTTGTGAAGTTTCAGTTCATCGATTGCTATTGCGTGGTCAAGGAAAGACTTCTAGTGCGTCGTCCTCGATTTCACATTTCGTAGCTCATTCGGCCGAAGGGTGCACGTTTGTATATGCTGTTTGTTTTTGCAAGTCGTGAATAGGAAAATAATGACAATGAAAAAGAAGCGGCACACATTGACCTTCGGGGCAATTTAATGTTCTCCATAATCGATCTTTTTTTATTTATTTATCTCCTAGTGTGCCGTGGGAACACTGTGGTATTGACACCACGTTTGACGACACATCATCGACGACATAACTGGATCTGTTTCCTTTCTGGTAATGGTTAACCTGCGCATGTACCTTCTATAGCTTTATAGCTGGTTATTCAATTACTTTTATGAGAAACCTCAATAATGACTGTGACATAATGAATTACTTAATTTCACCTTAACTAGAATGGTTCCCTGGGATATGCCCAATGCAATGTGTCCAGCGCCTTGTAGTAAGTTATTGCCGTTTTGAGGCATCCACCAACATTCCTATCCTAAAAGAGCGGTGGTTGTCACAGGCTCTGGACAAATGCCTCTTACGGCAGAAAAATTCTTATACCTACAACGGAAGACCATCTCACGTTTGAAGTTCTCGCAAAGAGAGAGAGAGAAATGTGTTGGCTCGTTATGACTATCAAAGCGGAGTATTGTTTTCTGCTCTATGCTCTCATATTGTCTAGGAGAAGGCGTTTTGATAGGTGCTCGAAGAAAGCGGATTAAAAACCGAAAAAAAATTATTTCCGTAATTAATTAAACGTGTCCGCACGTTAATGCGAAATTGGGATAAAGTCGTTCGTGTCGTGAGAAAAAAAAAGATGTAAAAATAATTCTATAGACGTACACTGTCTACGTCAAAAGCACTAAAGTCAGTTGTCAAGTATCCGTAGTATATCCTCTCCCCCCACCCACTTTCCCCACCCCAGACATAAGCTCAGGAGCAGGGACAGAACAATAAATAAAATAATGAACAATAGCCAAAACAATGCGATGTTTCTATTGAATGTCGTAACTTTAAGATAACAGATATTTAAGTACCTCGACACTCCTTCCCATAACTGAACTAGGCAAGCAGCTATTCACAGCTGAAACGTTGGTCGGTTTTGTCGAATCGCGCCCCGGACAGGCCGGGTTTGTCCTCTCGTGGACCGGTCACTGCGCTGCGCGTATCGCGACCCAAGCAAGAGCGGGGGCATGATCGTGTCCTTCCTTCCGGCGGTGCTACACTTCCAAGCGAGATGCTTACAGGAAAAGTGTGAATTTCGTGCCGGGATACGTGATGGGAGAAAAACCCACCTGAACACACAGCAGAGTGATGATACCGATGAGGATCACTGGTAGCATGGCGCTCTTGGTTGCAGTAGTAGGACGCTCCTAGCAAGACCACTTGGTGAAGAAGAGAAGAGAGGGACGCTTTTTTTTTCTTCCACTGCCGAGGATGGGGACACGACGGAAAGCCGGTTTTGTAAGCAGCAGCAGTGTGCGGCGGTGTCGCGACTGGGTGGGTGGTCGGGGGGTTTTCGCGACGGACCGCTCAAGCACCCGGCGATGGAGAAACAGGAGAGCGGCGTGTGTCGCCCGCTCAACAGCCCACCGCTCCTTCCTCTCCGGCGGCTTGTTTTGCTTTCGCATCGCCGGCGAAACACCACGTGACGAGCCGGCGATGACGCTGTCCCGTGACGTCAATGGCATCGATGAGCCGCCCGTGGCGCCGCCTGGGAGCGAGTGGCGGAACTCGTGCGGCGTTTCGAAACCGAAACTAATATCGTGTCAGTTCGCATCTGTTGCGTGGAAGCGTTCTGACGTGCTTCGATTATACGGCTGACGTTCGTTCGCGACGAGCACGGTACCTCACAGTTGTAAAGATAGTGAAACGCTCCAATATTCCTCTGATTGCAGTATAAAAGAAAGAGAGGAAATCGGCAGTGTATCACACGTACGTTCATTTTCGTTTCTGTCTTCAATCGTGTTTGCTTTTCACGCCACCTCTTAATCCTCCCGTGTGTGTTTCTTTCAAACGTTCAAGAATGTAAAAAGAAACATTTAAATTACATTAAAGTATGTGTTCACCTACATATACGCAATGATGATGTCAGTACCACGCTAACACTCCTATATTGCAGTCTTGCTCCGTCTGTCTTTTTCTTAATTCAGGTCTATGCTACGAAATTTCCAGATCGAACATTATTTAAGACATTTTCTTTCTTTAGAATGAGAAGTCGTGTATTTCTCACTACGGCGTCTGCTTTGTTGATGATCGTGAATATGTGGATCAATAAAGCTGTGGGTTCAAAGCAGACTTCTCAGGAACGAATTGTGGATAAAAGTTTAGCGCAGCTGTTTGCGTGGCTGTAAATAAGAGCATTCGCCGGGGTGTCTGTTTCAGTCGTTGAGGCTTCGTCCCATAGAATTTCCTAAAATTAACTAGAGGGGAATCTGTCGCTGCGATCTTTCAGCGACCATGGGAACGCACGTTTGCCTAGTCTTCGTACTTGCGGGCGGCGAATTGTACTTGCGGCTTCGTTTATTGCTGTGTTCCGGTTTTGTTATAAAAAAAAAATTCAACCATTTTCAACTTTGTGACCTGATTTAGAAAGGTAAGTCTAAAAGAATAAGGTATTGAAGCGCAATCGATGACCATTTGTTTATTTTTGTATAGTGAAAAAAAAAAAAAAGCTCCAAGCCCCTCGAACACAAACGGAGCCACAAGCAGGCCAGAAGTACGAAGATTAGACAAATGTGTGTACTACCCATCATTCCTATGCTCGCTGAAGCGCAGTGCGTTGCGGCTTTCATAGACACTAGCGCCAGAGTTCCCTCTAGTGTATATTAGGAAACCCTAGGCTTAGTTCAATAACTCCTACATGGCGACTTTAGTCCAAGTTCGGCGTCTAATCAGTCAGGCTCTTTTGGCTATCGCATCGCTTTCTTAGGTTCCGCTCTCACTGTTAACTACTACGACTCTAGACCCGCCGTGGTGGTCTAGTGGCTAAGGTACCCCTGCTGCTGATCCTCGGGTCCCGGGATCGGATCCCGGTGGCGGCGGCGGCTGCATTTTCGATGGTGGCCGAAGTGCTGTAGGTCCGTGTGCTCAGATTTGGGTGCACGTTAAAGAACCGCAGGTGGTCTAAATTACCGGAACCCTCCACTACGGCGTCTCTCGTTATGATATGGTGGTTTTGGGGCATTAAACCCCACATATCAATCAATTTCCGGAGCCCTCCACTATGGAACCCCTCATAATCATATGGTGGCTTTGGGACGCTAAACCTCACATATCAATCAATCAATCAATCAATCAATCAATCAATCAATCAATCAATCAATCAATCAATCATTACCGTCAGCATCTATGACCACAAGGGTTTGTTTAATAATTATTGATAGATGCTACTCATAGTGATGGAAATGTGTGGTTAAGCGTCAACGTGGGTGCATACACGTTAATCCGTGCTGAAGCTGTCAAGCACCAATAACCATTGCGCAAGCTCTCATATATCGATGTAAGTAAACATTAAACTACTTCTGTAAGGGCACCTTTTATTTTCGTGTTTTACCGATCCATTTAACGGAGTGAGCAACCATGTTTTTTTTAAAGGTGCCCTGCCACGCCTTTTGAGCGTGGCCAGAAAACGCTGCTGATTGGTATAGTCGAAGCTTCTGAGAAAACACGAGTCAAATATGTTCGTTTCTCGGTGTAGTTCTTGACCGGCATATGAAATTCAATCTTCATGCGCAGTCACTCATTCGCAAGATAACCTTTGGAATTGGCGCCATGATCAAAATTCGTTCATATTTTCAGCCACACATAATACACTCCCTTTATCACGCACATATTCACAGCCATTTATCTTATTGCCTATAAGCCTGGGGTAATTAACTCATACTTGACCCACCTCAACCAACTACAATGCCTACAGAATCAAGCACTTCGACTCATGATTTTCAGCCATTTCTTAACCAATGCAACGCCACTTTATCAGAATTTAAATATACATCCTCTTTATCACCTCTGTCAGCTGAAGTTATCAGTTCTCATGTATAAGCTTTTTCGCGGTAATGTGTATATAGATCGCATTGTCGTGGAAAGCTTTGTAAAGAATATTACTAGGTTTTCTGAGCTTGATAACCGCCTTCTGCCTAAAGTTCGCACAAACTACGGCAAGTTCATTACCACATTTACGGGAGTCAAGGTGTGGAATTCCCTTCCTTACGTAATAAAATCATCAACCACAGAACATGCATTCAAAAACCAAGTAAAGATATATTTTTTTGCAACAGTTGTCTTCATCTTAGCAACTGTTTTTTAATGTAGCGATAACAATTGCAACATGTTATATTGTCCTTACGTTTTGTATTATAACTTGCGCTTGTTTGTTCTTCAATGTTTTTTTTTTGCCTTGTTTAACATATATGTATTTTCACTTTCGTTTTTTCACACTGCTTTTTTTTTCTTACTGAAGATACCGTAACAACTGAATGTTGTATATTTTGTTTCTCCTCCCGCTAACATCATGTATCGGAGCCTCCCTGACAGTTTCTAACTTTGGGGCTCCTTGTGTGTATTACCAATCCTGTACGCACTTTTCTGTAAACTGCCATTGTTGTTGAATAAAACTTGAAACATAATGTATCGCAGAAAGCTGTCTGGAATTCACTATAAATCATCGAAGTCAGCAAAGATTGCTTTCTCTTCACTCGATAAATGATGCTACAAACTCAAGTCACCCGTAACAGCCGTTGTGTCGGTCATTGGCTCGTTTGAGCATGGCGCGCTTGATCGAGGCTGGTGTCGCCGCGGAAGGCCGCGACTTGTCCATGAGCCCATGTGATCGCAGTGAAGGTCACGAGGTGCGCGTGACGTATTTTCTTTTTTTTTTAAGTGTGAATACTCTTTATAAGCGACCCCAAACCATCCACCGCCGTCGGCGGCGTCCGCAGTCTTCTCTCCATCTTTAAAAGAAAGAGGACTTGGCGGGCCGCAGCGCGACGCTCTACCGAATAAGCCACGGACGCGACGCTGATAGTCCCCCTCCCCCTTCGCTCGCTCCTCCGCTCTCCTCGCTCGCTGCAGCTGCGCGCGCACCCCTCTCTCTCGCGCGCCCGCCTTCTCTCTCAGTCTCCCGTCGAGAGCAGGTCGTGAGGGGGAGTAAAGTTAAAATCCGTAGGCATTCGCCAGTGAGTTAACGTAAACTCCCCCGTGTGATCAAATTGCGATTCCCAGGAACCATTACACCATAAAGGCACCATAGTGTGATTAATAAATATAGTAGTGCGAATTAATAAATACCCCTCATAGCATCACCCCGTGTATTCGCACTTAACCATGTTCACCCTCGAGGAAATGCTTGGGAGTTTTTTTCACTCGTGCCATATTCTCTGCTTTACTCGTGCCATATCGCCTGCAGGATTTCTAACCAGAGAGGTTTGAACTCCCGTGCCCCGTTCAAAACGTGCTGGGCGAAGAGCACTCTCGTCGGGACGAGAGAAGAGAGAATGCAATTGCTGCGCGCGACAAATCTTTGTAACTACGCTCGTATACTGGGCGGATTCTCGAAATGTTTGCGGTGATCAATTTGTGAGGCAATAAGGTCCTTTAGTGAATATACTCCATGGCTACTTGGAAACGTGTTGCAAAGCCCCCTTGAGGGTGTCCTGCAACGCATGTGTTCGCAAGTGTGCGTGTGCACACGATGTAAGCAGAATCGAAAAAAAAGAGGGGATGGGGGAGGTTCAACCTAGAGTACCTCTGTACCTTAGTTCAATCCAAGCCACTCCTTGATACGTCACTAGTGTCGTTCATTTCACTCGACCGCTAGTGATAACGTACAAAAACGAACCTAGACTGCATTATTTAGATTAACATGCTCTGGTACATTTCGGAGCCAGTACTAAGTGGCAGTGCTCCCGTTAGCGTGCTGTAACATTGCGCGTACGTCACAGTGTTTTGCTGTTACGTCATAAGCGGGGCACGCTTCGTTACAGTGGTTGCACAGGCGTAGGTTAACCAAATCAGTCCTGGTAAACTTTTTGAGGGACTATCCTCTACATCCATAATAATTCTGCGGTGAGAATTTTTTTGGCTATAAAAATTGAGTTTAGGATTTTGCAATGATCTCGTAGAGAATTCCTCAATCTTTCCGAAAATTTATCACACTTTGGGTACTCGAGGTGCCATAAATAATGTTGATATAGAATTCTAGTGTACCCTAAGCTTACCTGATTTCTGCGTTTTTCTCGGAATTACATTTTGGGAAGATTGTGTAATTTTTTCTCGCGAACAGTACAACCTTTTACTGTACAATCTAAAAGAAAGATGTTCTGACGTATGTTTATTCGGGCAATTTATATAACTGCAACTAGAACGTTTAGCCTAGGTGCATTTATATTTAGTAGAAAAAAAAAGAAAGAACATTCGTAGGTGACAAGTTTCAATCAGTGAAAAAACGTACAACACATAAAACTCATAATTTCTGTTCCACCTCTGTAAACCGTTAATAGCTAATCTTGTGCAAAATTGCAGTTCTCTGCTAAAAGCGTATCCTAAGGAAAGTAAACATGTAGAAAAACTAAAAACAAAAATTAATAAGAGTAAACGTGACTAAAATGTAATTTGGACTTCG